TAATCTGATAGGGACCAGCAAAATAGCTCAGGGGGCTAAAGCATTGCTTTGGTACCACATGCCACACCAGGCCCTGCCCCAGGGTGGTCTGAGGCAGCCAAAAAGAAAAACAAAAACAAAAACAAAGATAACTTGATAATTTACAAGTCACCTACATACCAAATTTTGAAACCACAAATGCCAGGGCTACATGCTCTATGCTATCTTGCCAGGTGTCATACATGGCAATCAACCAGTTTGGATTTGAAATTAGTTTGACTTCACATCAGTTGTGATTACTGAGCTATTAACAACTTCTACTTCCCTCTTTTTTAAAATCTTTGGTCTTTCATTTCATCCTTTAAAAATATTTAATTTATAGCTTTTTTTCATATCTTTTTGCTTTGACACTACTTCTTTTGAGAATTCTTTTGTAGGATTAAAGGAAGGCAAATTCTCTCATCTTAATTCCTAGGACCAGTTAATATGTTGGGTTCTGTAATTAAGGAAAAAGAGTTTACCAATTAGCTGCTAGTAAGATAGAGAAATTATTCTGGCTCGTCTGGATACAGTGAACGTAGTCACAGATACCTTTCAATGAAAGAGGTAGGAAGAAAGTATCAAGGAGAGACGAAGTATGACATTGGTGAACAGCTGGTGGTGTTTTAGAAGGCAAACCAAAAAACTTCAAGGACTAGGCTGTGAGGAGAGAGTCCAGCCTGGGAAAAGGCTAGCCAACAAATCTTCTTCGTGAACTTTCAGAAAAGCACGCAGACCCACAGCACCGTGGTTTCAGCTGAGTGACAGCCACTTGGACTTTTGACCTCAGAGCTATAAGGTAATAAATTTGTACGAAATTTGTTGCTACTCATTAAATACAAAAGGAGCAACAAACCACTTTTCAGGTTTTCAAGAGTCTTAGCTTTTGGAGAAGGCAGCATTCAAGAAAAATATGTTTCTGATCCTTTTTTTCCATTAGATAAATATTTCCTATGATCCTAAGCTGCAGAGTCTCCTCTCCATTCTAGATGTTACCAGTGTGACTATATTCTGTCTTGTGGCCAATGCAGGTTATGATTGTTTCATGCAAAGCCTGGCTTTTATCCTGCTGGTAACATGCCTAGGAAAGTGTTCCCGTGCAGTGTTTCAGGTTTTACATCTGACTGTGTTAAATAGTAAATATTAAGTAGTACCCCAGGAAAAATTTCATTTCAGAAACTTGTTGAGCCATTAAGGCTAAGTAATTGCTAATAGTCCTTAGAAATACGCTTAGCAAAGTTGCCGCCATGCCTGAGGCTGTATCACCAGAGAAAAGATACAAGTTTTAGCAAGCTGGGTACATAACAGTTTTTATGTTGTACATTTAAAGTTTTTAAAAATTTAAACTAAAATAAACGTGGAAGAAGATGAAGTAGAAAGCTATTATCTCTCTCACACAAGTAGGAAGACTAAGGAACAATTCATAGGAGTAGCTCAGGTTTTTTTATTTAATTTGTTTTTCTTTTTTCTTCCAAGGCAAACATAAAGCATAATTGGATTGGGGTAAATATAAGGAAGATTAAAAAAAAAAAACACCGATTTTACTTTTTTTAATTTTACTTTTAAGTGGGTAAACCTTCTAGGAATCATGGTGAACGCTTTGGCAATGAAACAAAGAAAAGCTGTTTTAGCCTGAAGAAACTGTGCCTTCCTTAGCCAGCCTGAAGCCAGGAATGCTGTTTTAAAAGTCTTTGCTAAGCTTTAAAAATTTTCTTCAAAGGTCGACTAAGTGTCTAGAAAATATAATGAGTAGGGAGTACTTGCTTTCTGTGTCTTTCCGGCATCCAGTATGTCGAAGTGAGGACATGGTTGGTCCTCTGGTGTGAAATTCCGGATCTCCTTGGGTCTTCCGGTGGGAGCCGTGATCAACTGTGCTGACAAGACGGGAGCCAAAAAATCTGTATATCATCTCTGTGAAGGGGATAAAAGTAACGACTGACCTGACTTCCCGCTGCTGGTGTAGGTGACATGGTGATGCCCACAGTGAAGAAGGGCAAGCCAGAGCTCAGGAGAAAGGTGCATCCTGTAGTGGTGATCCGACAGCAGAAGTCGTACCGGAGGAAAGATGGGGTGCTTCTGTATTTTGAAGAAAATGCAAGGATCATAGTGAACAACAAAGGCAAAATGAAGGGTTCTACCATCACAGGGTCAGTGACAAAAGAATGTGCAGACCTGTGGCCAAGGATTGCATCCAATGCAGGCAGCATTGTGTGAGCTGTGTGTGTCTATACAAAATAAACAGCTGTTGGCAGGTGTCAAAAGAAAATATAATGAGTAGGGGACCAACAGGCTAGGAAGATGGATTTGAATTCTAACTTCCACTGAGTTCAGTCTGAGCTATCAGTTAATAATTTGCTCTCTGTGCATCGTAAATTTCCCTCTGGGAGAAGGCTGGGCTTCCGAAGTCCTTAATGACAGTAGCTCATGCCCCTTTCAGATTAGTTGTAGAAGCTAGAGGGTTAGCCAGGGAGATGTTTTCTAAGCTCCTGTCCTTCTCTTCATTAGACCTTGAAAAGGTGAAAGTACACATCTTTGAGATCAGCAGAAGTTCTGCTCATGGATATTTAGCCTTTCCTCATCAAAATGTGCATGTTGTTTCTTTAATACCTCAAGATATTTTGAGAAAACACACATCATTGAAGGAAATGAACCTGTATATTTGATCTTGTGCAAATCACTCTTAAGTTGGTGAACATGTTCTGTTGTATTTTGCATTTGCATCTGGTCAAGCAAACATTATCTGTATTTTTTCATGCACAGCCACTTAAACAACTGAGCTAAGGGGCAGGCCCCCAAAGGATTTTGTTTGTTTGTTTGTTTGTTTGTTTTGGTGGCTCAGGCTACCTGAAGGGCAGGTCTGGTGAGGCAGGTGGAGCAGGAGATCAAACCGCCGTATCCTGTGCCTGATTGCATGTGCATGCACTGTATTTTTCTACCTTCAAGTTATGTCTAGTAGTGGCATGTAGGCCATAAGAGAAAATTTTTTATACTTTTACCCAGGAAAGAAGAACTGTTACATCATATTTTAAGGAACAATTTGCTTTAAAAATAATCTAAAGTAACATTTCACTAGATTTCAGTTGACTCATTATTTATGGATAATCTCACAATTGTGTGAGCCTCACTTATGCTTTAAGAGAAAACTTGAAAATTATCTTTCTTTGGAAATTTGTGTTCATTCCAAATCCCTGTGAGTTCCACATTACACCTTGGCTGCTTATGGTTAGAGTGTGATCGGTTGTACTTATACTATGTTGTTCAATCTTGTGGACTTGGCAAGCTATCATAAAGGATTCACCCTGGATAATTAGATAGAGATTGTAGCTCATTGTAAATTCCACTTCCTTCCATTTGCATGCAAGGGGAAACATCTTCCTAAAGGGTATCTATTCACAGTCAGAGCAGGAAGAACAAATGTGAAACAATTTGTGCCATTTTTCTAAGAATGATATGACAAATATAGTGAGTATCAGGTTGTTTAAACACCAACAAATGATTCTTTCACAGTTCAAGAGATTAGAAATCCTCAATCAAGGTTTTAATATGCAGCTACCTTCTGGGGTTTCCATTCTTGGGAGGCAGGGCCATAATCTTCCTCGCCTTCATATCTGTGCCTCTGTGTATGTCTTCATTCTCAGTTTTGTCTTTTGTTAAGAACACCAGTCATTAATGTTAAGGACACCAGTCATTAATGTCCACTTCCATGATGTTATTTAATCTGATTTCCTTTTATACAGACAATAAATCTGTCACATTTATAGGTACTTAAGATTAATATTACAAAATTTAGATTCTGAGAGAGACATACTTTACTTCATAACAGAAATCCTTTTAAATGAACATTTTCCCCTTCGTTGTTCTGATAAAGATATTTATTTTCTGTGAGCTCATCTTGTTATGTACATTGTGGGTTCATCTCTAAAGTCTAAAATATGCACAAAAGTTTGATTCGTATTGATTGCATCTGGAAAATCTAGCATGCCTTCCACTTTATCTCCACACTGTTATTCCTCACACTGTTTTGAATAGCAGTATTCTTTTTCCACACAGTGATTTTGAATTAATGTTCAAGCTTCACAAAAAATGTATATAAGCATTTTTGAAAGTTTTCAAATAATGAGCTACGTAAGAAGTATGGGAAAGGGCAGCCAGATAGCTCAGCAGACCAAACCACCTGGTTAGGCAGATGCAGGGACCTGAGTTTGATCCCCAGTATTCTGTGCCAGCCCCCCCCCCCAGGCACACTGTGATGTCAACTGAGACTGTGTGTGGTGGCACACACCTTTAATTCTAGCCCTTGGGAGGCTGAAAACAGGAGATCACTATGAGTCCAATCTGTGTAGTGAAACCCTATAGATCCTATACTAAATACATAAAAAAAAGAAGTATGTGAAATGTATTTTCATATGTAATGCCTTGGAAGGTGGAAATCCTACAATGTTGCAAGAAAATCATAGTGAACTACAAGGTGTGGATTTGTGGCGCAAGGCGTGGTAGGGAAATACCATCACACAGAAGTTAAAGTGACTTATGAATACATGTTTACAAACTTCTGAGTATTTTTTGTTTATTTATTTTTTTTAACATTTATTTATTTAGTGTGTGTGTGTGTGTGTGTGTGTGTGTGTGTGTGTGTGTGTGGCCAGCTCAGCCCACCAGGGGGTGGGGCTGGCTGGCATGTGGTGCTGGGGGATTGAAACCGTGGTCCTTGTGCTCTGCCAAGCTTGTTCCAAGTAGGTGCTTTAGACCACTGAGCCATCTCGCCAGCCCCTATTTTTTGTTTAATTTTGACACTTTCTCTTATTAAGGACAAAAGTTATGGAGTTCTGAGCTATATTCTGGTATGTATACCTATGTACTATTTATCCCAGTTACAGGAGTATGTATTGAATACTGTGTATCATTAACCTAGTAATACAAAAGAGAATAGTTGTTTGGGGTCAAATTAAGTCACTATCTTTCTCGCTCTCTCTCTTTTTTTGTGTTATAGGAAAGGCGAGTGGCAGCCACAGGTATTAGGTTGACCTGAGCTGTCAAATTCTCTCCAGGTTGATCTTGCTTGCAGTTGACTATCTTTCTCCTTGATGTCATTCTTCTTTACAATCTTTTAACAATGTGTAATTTTGTTGTGTTTGTTTTGTTCTCTTTTGATTTGTTTTTAATATGTAAGGCTCTGGGAAGTAGGCTGCACTTTCAGCACCAGAGTCTGGGCTGGAATTGCTTGTGAAAGTAACCTTGTTCTTAAGGAGTATGTGTCAGTTGGCACTTTTCAGTTTACAATTGGATAGAACTATCGAGTTTGAGAAAGTTTCTTAACACTATAGTTTTTTCTTTTTGAGGGAACATATTCTCTTTTGCTGTATATTCTGCCCTTATGAGGAAACTATTTTCACCATGTTTTCTATGAAATGATTGGCTTAATTTTAAACTTCTTTTCTTTTCTTTTCTTTTCTTTTGGTGGTACCAGGAATCAAACTCAGGACCTTCCACGTGCCAGGCAGGAACTTACACCACTGAGCTATATTCCTGGCCCTCTTAATTTTAAATTTCTTGAGTCACTGTATGTAAAACTTGTCTCTTCACAATTATAGAATTGCTAATTCTGTACCAACTAAGAAAGCAGAATTCAACTCCATCAGCGATGAGTGAGTTTGAGGGTTAAGTGGGGACTTTCTCTGTCTCTAACATAGAAGTCCAGAGAGTCCATCTGTCCTATCTCATCATTACACTGACCTTCCTGTTGCCCCACCTTCACTGCCCTTCTTGTGTAGACACTCACCTCTGTCCTCCAAGTATTCACATATACAGGCATGTACATATATATGACATATGTGGGTGTTTTCACATAAAGATTTTTATTGTTCATAAAAACCCATGTAACAAATCCTTTGTTATCACAACATTTCTGCCTCCCTGACCAAACGGTCCCAAATACCTGTGAATTAAAATCTATTTGGCTTAAGGTCTCTTTGTCTGATTACCTACAGTCAGCAAGAATAGAAGTCCGGGCCAGTAATATAGCATGTAAGATCTGATACATGAATCTGCATAAATTAATAGAAACTTATTTTAAAAATTAAAAGAGGATTCTAAATGAGTACTCTATGATTATTTTAAGTGCTCTTAAGGGGCAATTAATGTATGAAGTATTGTTGAAATCCAACCACATATTTGGATAGGATAATGTGCCCTGAATAACTATAATCTTCATTTGTTGAAACAACTTTATCTTTCAGACTATTGGGTCTTATGACATTATTGTGGAGGTATAATTCTTGGTAATTTTTTGAGAAAGCTTAAACATGAAATCAGTCTAGTACTTATGTTCTATATTAACTTTTAGGTGGTCAGGCTACCCAAAGGCCAATCATGATAAACTGCTAAATGTTTTTATGTAATATACATATATAATATATGTGTATATTATATATTATATATTATATATATTAAACTGAGATTTTGAAAATATGTGTTATTCAGTAAAATCTTAAATAACATTTTCAGATTAAAATCAATCATCACCTCAGAGAGATGGAATCTGTTATATCTGATGCAGCCAGCAGAATTGGTAGTACAAACCATCAGTGATTGGTTAGCATTGAATCTAGTTGCGGTCAGAAGTAAACCTGAGGTTTTTTTTTAAAAAAAAAAAAAAAAAAAAAAAAAAACCTGAGTTTTAACATCAACAAAAACATAGGATTTGCAATTCAGAAAATCCAAAGGAAGTGCTAACTCTAAAGATATTAATTCTATGTGGTAGTATTTTAGCTTTACATATTTTTCACCATAGCCTATCTAGCCATTAAAAATGGAAAACCTAGTAAATTTGCTCTGAAATTCTCAAACCAATCAATAAGTTCTCCCAGTCAAGTTCTTGTGTTCTTCTATTTCTAGCTATTAAAAACTTTTCACTAATAATTGTCTAATTACTTTCTTCCTTCTTGTATAAGACAAAGATTATGAGTTGAAATGAATACTGATAATGAACACTTGGCTAGGCTTTGTTAACATGCTAAACATTTTGAAATTTATGTGACTAACATAATTCAATAAAGAACATAAATGATCTATTTTGCATGAGTAAAATCTCTAAAATTCCAAAATTGATTATATTAGTTTATAACTTGAAATTGCCAGAGTTGTTTGCAAATTATCTCATTATGCTTTAATTCCTATTTGCCCCAGGAAGACTTTCCTGAGGTACCTGTAATTGTAAGGTGAACTACAAAGTAACACATATATTTGGATCCCAACCCTACCCTACAAGTGCCATAAAATAGCTCACTTTCATTATTGATTTCCAACCTTTCTGATATCTCAATAATCTCTGGAAGCAGCATAATTCTATTTATAGAGTTATGTTTTAGTAGGGAATTTCCAAGTATAAAATATATTAATTCACAATCACTGAAAATTAAATACCAGCAGTGAACTTCATTATTTTTCTTAAATAGGGCATGGGCTAAAAGAGAATAAAATTTATTATTCCGTACATGACTTTAATTGTTCAACTTTTAATGAGGATCTGATTTGATGCACCAATCTAACCCAAATTTCAAATTATTTCTTTAAGTTGCTTCATTTTTAGAAGAGGTTTAGATTTCTAGGAAAGTTGCAATGGTGTTAACAAGTTTTTCATGTGGCACACAGCTTATTTATGCTTTTATCTAACCCTAATATGATCTATATAGGCACAATTAAAGAACTAATACTGAAACATGTTTTGTGATTCCAGAGAAAATGCTAACTCTACAGATATTAAAGCACCTAAATTTAAAAAGTTTATTGAAGGCAGTATTTTAACTTCTGTTACTAGTTTTTCTGTTTCCCTTCTACACAATAAAGATGGGGAAGTGAATGGTCCATTCTTTATGTCAATTTTTTTTTTCCTTTTCATACTAGGGATTAAATTCACAACCTTGTGTCTATCAGGCAGGCATTTAGGATCTATCAGAACCATGTCAATTTCTTTAACTTCTCTTAACCTTAGTCTTCTTTTAAAGGATCTTGTCTAGGATAATATACTACTTTCATGTGTTCAGTCTACATATCTACATAACTATGATAGTTGCTCACATTTTACTTGCTTTTTCTTTCTTCTTTAAATAATTTCACAAGTTTTGAGGATTTAAATTTTGTAAACTATCTTGTAAAATACCAATAAAGGACTCTTCTTGTTCTTCCTCTTTTTGTTGTTTTATTTTTATTTGTTCATGTTTAGAGTAGAGTTCTAGGTCTTCATTACAACTATTATGGAAGTCCAGGCCTGTTTTGTCACAACTGTGTTGTGTCATCATGACCAATCTCTGTTGACTTTGACCTAGGTCAGCAAGCTGCAGGAGGGCTTGGCAGATTTCTCTACTCTATAATTTCTTTCTTCAATCTCCTTCCCTTTCGGTATCATCTCCTTGGGGACAGTAGTAAAGACACATTGTTCATGCTTGGCCCTCCAATCTCCCTTAGGGAAGGCATTTCCCTTGTGAAGATGTTAGGTGTAGGATGTTGGTCTCTGTGCAAGACACTTGCCTTATCCAGCCAAAGAGAGTCCATGTGCACAATTTATTTTTCTTGTGCCCTTTTAAGCACTGCACTCAGTTCAAGTTTGCAAACCAGCATTTCTTCTGGGAAGTAGTTGGATCTATTTATACCACACATAAATTATTTGGTTTTCATTCTGTATTCCCTAAAGATTTTTCCATTCATCAATTAAAAAAGAAACATATTAACTTTCATTCCTTTACTTTAAGTTCAATAAATATTCAGATATTTATGCTTATATTTATTACTATGTATCCTCAAGCAGATTTTCATTGGAAATTGTTTCACTGTTCTGTACATTTATGTGTTTTATCTATTCAATCCTTTCATCTCTTCCCCATATGCTGAAACATTGATTGTTTTTATTGAAAGAATTTTCATGGGGACTAGGGAAGTTTTTGCATCCTACTATCAGAAAAAGCATTTTCACACCTTCAACCTAAAGAAGAATGCACTTCTGGCTTTGTCTGTGTGGGTGCCAAAGGACACTGTAAAGAACACTCTCTTTTCCTATGTTCTTTGGTGCAATTTTACAGTAGACATCTCTTACTCCAAGAAATAAAAATATTCCCGATCTCTACTCACATTAGAGTTAATACCATGTTTCTGCACCACTCAGCAAAAGATTGCAATGAAATTCCAAATAGTTTAGGCCCTTTAGCATACAAAGAAGGGACATGGGCCATGACTTCAGTTCACTCTTTGTAGGAATGCTTAGGCTCCTGGGGTTATTTTTACTGCGGAATTCACATATGACAGGTGGACCTGTACTACAATGAACAGTCTCATTTGCACAAGAAATTCAACTATTGGACTCTAGCATGCTACATGTCACTTTGACTTTAGTAATATACAAACTGATAGAAAAAAAAATGGCCTTAATAAAAATTTCACAATTGTTTGACTAAACATCTGAAACATTTTTATCACAGCTTTCATATATTAAAACTATTTCCTCCAGGGACGAAGGCCCTAGCTGCTATCATCTGACCCATGACACAACCTCGATCCTTATTGTTGGATTCCTCCGGTTCTGACTCATTTCCAGAGCATTGGCCAGGACCTTTGTTGTCCGACCCTCGCTCCGATTAACTCTCCGACTCCATGGTTGGAGAAGCCGGGCAAGAGTCGTTCTCCGAGGCTCCTGAGGGCCATCTCCCGGTGGCACAGACCTGTTGACTGACTGCTTGGAGCCCAAGGGCCTTCGCTTCCAGGAGGGCTGGTCCTGTGGTCAGGACTGGTCCCCTTCCTTCTCCTCCTGTCCCTCCTCCTCTCGGCTCCTTCCCAGTTCTCTCCCTTGGGCTCACTGCTCTCCTCTTCTTCTTTGCTGCTGGTTCTCATCAGTGTCATCACTGACAAACTCACCTTTGTTGAAGCGCGGCCTACCTCCACCTCTTTTCTTCTCTTGCTTCAGTCTTTCCAGTAACCATAAGCATGTTTTTGATCTTTTCCACATACTGGTATCGCTGTTCCAAGAGTTTCTTTTGCTCTTCTTTTTCTCTAAGGCCTTTCTCTTCCTGTTCTTTAAAGAAATTTCTGCCTCTACAGCTCCTTTTC